GAGAATCGTATCAAAGCTTCGACTTGAAAAGATTACAGTAAAACTCGCCTCTGATGCAATATTTACAGGAAATAATCTGCTCCTTTTACACAAACTTCCTGCATTTATTGTTCAGTTTATCAGGTGTTTTGAACAGTTTTTTGTTATGCATTGAATAAAATGATAAATCCATAAAATATGTCACTTAGTCAGGGATTAGGAAGGGGTCCTTTTTGTATACATGTTGGAATAAATCAAGAGAAATTCAAGTAAAAATGCCAAGCATACTTCTGCCTTTTTCCTTTTGAAAACCTCTGGGTTTATGAAAAGTAAGGAAATGTTATAGACTCAACAATAATAAAAAAAAAAAAGCCCTGACAGATTAATCTATATTAAAATGATTGGCCTCATTTCTCCCTCTGCATTTCTTCGTCCCAGATAGAATTATGAATTCCTGCGTTAAGCTGAGGAGACATTTCTCCTTGTAGGGAGTGAGGAGGAAGGGGTGAGGGGACATGTGAGGGTCTGCTGTGGACATCTGGAAGCAGAGTAGCTGGAGAAGGAGGGTGGGGCTCGTTATGACAGCCAGGGAGAGTCTCTGTAGTCTGGGTGGAGGTCAGATGGAGGATTTAGAGCCGAGGCTTTTCCCCCGTGAACATGATGTCATTCTGCAGCTGCTCAAACTGACTGCACCCCTTTAATCAGGGGGAGAGGGGCTGATACCCTCCCTCTGCACCTCCCTAAATCTGAATGGAGTAGCTATGATACTTACACGTTTTGTTCAGCAGGATAATATTAATGACTTTATGAATTTTAAAAACTAATGTTGGGCTATAAAGGAACTACAGCACGGTCACATGACTTCACGTCACCACCGCTAAGCTAAAGGAGGCTAATGTTGGGCTATAAAGGAACTACAGCACGGTCACATGACTTCACATCACCACCGCTAAGCTAAAGGTGGCTAATGTTGGGCTATAAAGGAACTACAGCACGGTCACATGACTTCACGTCACCACCGCTAAGTTAAAGGTGGCTAATGTTGGGCTATAAAGGAACTACAGCACGGTCACATGACTTCACGTCACCACCGCTAAGCTAAAGGTGGCTAATGTTGGCCGTGATGACGTGTAGTCGTCTCATTTAGACACTTGTTTGCAACTTCCTATCGTATTTAGTGAGGTAGTTTATCAGTGTGTTGGAGTGGTGCGATTGTCAGTGTGTTTATGAACTGAGTTTCGGTGAGTCTGTCAGTGTGTGAGGTTGAAGGAGGTTGTCAGTCATGTAAATAGAAACCTACGATCTGGCTTTAAAAACATCTTCATTATAAACAAAGAGGATGAAACTGTCTCCCCCTCCACCTCATCATCTCTCTCCCTGCTCCCCCCAGTCCTCTAGTGTTTTATTACACCTCTGCAACACTGATCTCATTCCTCATGTGCATCAGTGCCAAAAGAGCCTTGTAGAATGATTTATAGTGTGAATACAAGCTATAATGTTCAAATATGATGTCTTTGTGATATATAATCCACGACGGTCAGAAATGTGGAATTCCTGACCGTCCTCCAAAGGATCAGACTTCTTTATTTAAGCACCTCATATTTCTTTAATATGAAGCACAGTTGGATCAGACTGCAGCAGATTCCAGCATGTCAAACAAACTATGTTGTGGTTGTGTAAATCTGCACAGACTGAGCAGGAAACTGTGTGTGGTTCACATCTAAACAGATCATTAAAAAACCTCATCTCAAACGTGTTTATCTACAAAAAAGAAGGCCTTTATTTACCACCTCTCTTGGTGGTCGCTTGGTAGTTTTAGTCTTAGTTTCCTAATTGAATCTTGCTTTCTAAGAAACTGGGGTTAAACCAGCATTATAAAACATCCAGAATACACTTAATACTTTACTGGTTGGACAAGTGCTTTAAGAAGCTTTCTTATATACTATCTTAATAAAATACTTACACCTACTGTAGAGGCTAAACACTTTCCACATTAAAGCTCTTTAAACAGGCAATTAGATGAAGGCTCTAATAGCACGGTCTAACATCAGTGAAACATGTATACACACTTACACCAGTTAACATGCAGAACATCACATATCTGGTACTACTGGGAAAAAAAGAGGGTTAACGTGCTAACATTCCCACAGAGGACTTAATCCAGAGTGAGTGGCGTTTAAAGGACTGCACACAAACCACCTAAACTCTCATTTATATGACTGGATTTGGAGCTTAACTAAATAACATAGTGGTGCAGGAAACACATGTTTCCTGTGATAGCAGAATAGTTTGGGTTAGAAGTTAAACAGTTTACACTCTGCGCTGGTTTGCGTCCATGTGGAGAGGAGAAATTATGCTGCGGGAAATAAAAACGCCTTGTTATCCTGTGATTTATACATGTCTTTTTTTTTATGACAGCGTAATGGATGCCACTTCTCTTTTACTTAACGTTATGCAGATGGGTTTTAAAAGAAAACATTTCAGAGGAGATTTTTTTAGCATCTCTTTCTCCCCTCCCCAATATAAAAACACTGAATAAAGTTTTAGTTTGACTTTTAAAATCCGAGTTTTTCTCCCAGCGTTTGCTCAGCTTGTTTCTCTGATAACTTCAGATCGAGGCGTTCATGAGGATTTTACAAGCGGCCGAATTACCCACACATTTCTCCTCTTTTACAAAACAAACAGACATGATGACGAGTAAAGATTAAAGTGGTACATTTGTGAGGAATTGATAAGGTTACTCGCTAAACAAAACATTTTCTTTAAGGGGTTTATTATCGCTATTTGTGACATAAATCTCATAGAATCTCTTCGATTTTACTCACAAATGTGTGATTTTTTTACTTGCCATTTAATCCCGTAAATTCTGATTCCTTTCACATAAACCGCTTTCACACCAAGTCATTTGCCGTACTTAGTTCCCAGCACTTAGTTCCCCCATGGAACTAAGAGTCGATCGCGTTCACACCGGAATAAGTTCCCTGAGGGAGGATTAGGCAAATGAAGCCGCTGACGTCACTTCTTCTTCTTCTGCTTTGGGTTTACTGGCAGGCCGCAAACAACTTCACGGCGTATACTGCCACCCGAAGCCCCCGGCCGGAAGTCCCCGGAGTTGGGGACTGGCTTCAGTAGAAGCTGCTGGGACTCCCAGCAGCTTCTACTGAAGCCTTCCGAGTAAATCGCCAGAACGCCGACACCTCCTCATCACTCCACCGCTCCCATGTTCTTTTTTGTGTTGCCATAAGTTATTCTCTCTCCATTGGTGCGCGGGGCTAATGCTAATAATGCTAATGCCAGCAAATACAATGGCGGCTTCACAAAACGTTTTACGGGGCGTGCTTTGCAATTCGCCCAGCCAATCAGAAATTGGTACTTTTTCTCCCCAGGAAAGTACCACCTCTCTAGCAGGCACTAAAAATGGGGGTAAAAGTTCTCATGAACTAAGTTCTCTTTTTGGTGTGAACGCAAAATTCCAGGCACTATCGGAACTAAACGGGAAAAGTACTCCGGTGTGAAAGCGCCTAATGACTCTGTGATATAATTATATTCTTATTAACTTACCCTACAACAACCCTTGAACGCTTGTTTTATGACAAACACTGCTATTTTATGGATATCTACTCTTCATAATATAAATCTACCACTTGACTTTAGGCTATTTAACCCAGTGATGGCGTTCCTTCAATAACCCAGAATCCCCTCACTTGAACTCCGAAAAGCTTTCCTACTTTTCTCCACCTTCCTCTGTCAGAAGGTTTTCAGCACCACCCAAACATAATCCCCAGATTATTACAGGAACAGGATCTCTCCTGGAGGATGGATGTGAAGTCAGGAGGTCACAAACTTTTGGCCTGAGATGTTTATTTGCACAGCGCCACAGACGGAGAGAATTAGCTCGTATGTGACGACTAATGAGTTAAAAAGAGTCTGGCTTCTCTGGGTCAAGCGTGCAGTTTAGTTCACCGGGTCAAGCTGTTCCAACTCATTCACTGAGAAAGGTCATTTTAATTCAAAGATACCACACATCTTATAGTAAAACAGCCACAAAACTGGGTCTCCAATCTATCTAACTTCCAGCAAAGGTTGCACAAAGAAGTTATATTGTATAGAAGTCTATGGAAAAATGTGTATACTTCTCTCTTCCTCAGATACTATAGAGGAGGTCTATAACAACACAAGTCTACTTCTCTCTTGATGTGTTAGCTTAGATTGGATAGAAGTCTATGAGAAATTTAGCCTACTTCTCTCTTGATTTACTACCTCAGATTGTATAGAAGTCTATGAGAAAATGTTACAACTTCTCTCTTGGTTTATGAACTTATATTGTATAGAAGTCTATGAGAAAGTTAGCCTACTTCTTTCTTGATGTGTTAGCTTAGATTGTATAGAAGTCTATGAGAAAGTTAGTCTACTTCTCTCTTGATGTGTTAGCTTAGATTGTATAGAAGTCTATGAGAAAGTTAGCCTACTTCTCTCTTGATTTACTACCTCAGATTGTATAGAAGTCTGTAAGAAAATTTGAATAATTCTCTCTCGATTTATGACCTTACATTGTATAGAAGTCTATGAGAAAATGGTCCTACTTCTCTTTTATTTACTACCTCAGATTGTATAGACGTTTATAAGAAAATTAGCCTACTTCTCTCTTGATTTATTATCTTGGATCTATAAGAAAATGTGCCTACTTCTGTCTTGATTAACTACCTCAGATTGTATAGAAGTCTATGAGAAAATTAGCCTACTTCTCTCTTGGTTTATGAACTTATATTGTATAGAAGTCTATGAGAAAAGTTGCCTACTTCTCCCTCTATTTATTACCTCGGTAAACATTTTCCTGAAGAGTTTATGGTCTCAATCTCTAGTTTGAGTTTTCTTTCACAGAGCATGATCATTTTTGTATAAAGGGGGCTTAAATATTTAATTTGCGGACCAGAACTTGACATTTTGCATGAATTGAAGAGAATATATTCATCAGATGAACGTTTTTCTTATTACCTCTCTCTCTGTCTCCCTACTTGCAGGTGAGGTGAAGTGTCAGGATGCAACAACAGAAGCACCTGTTGTTATCACAGTCATCAACGCTGGTAAGTGACTTTGAGAAATTGTCATCTGATCAATATCGTAAGGAACGGGACCACAAATCTAAATTGTCAGTTTTGTAACCAGGTGAAATTACAGACATTGACCCCTGAAGGAATCTGCCTCTTATTCTGTAGTTTTGGATTGAATCAACTCGATATGTTATACGTTTTCTAGTTTGTGTTAATTTCCATATAGTAAACACCTTTAACCCTTAAATGAATTCTGCATCCTGGAGGGTTTCATTTGAAAGGCTGTGGGGGGAGCGGCATTAACGGGGTTTATTTTTATATTATGAGAAAGTTAGGAGTAGGAGGGATGGATCAAGTAATCGGGTCAGGCTGTTGTTGATAGCCTACATGTGGCGCTTATGAGTGGTTGTGTGTGTCCGTGCGTGTGTGAGCGCATCAGCGTGCGCTTATGTTTGGGGCGATGGGGGGGGGGGCCAAAACAATATTTGCACCGGGGCCAATCACAACAGTGTTACGCCACTGGTAGCTACAGTGTAGATCTGTCAATGAAAAACGAAGGTCACAGGCTCCTCCAACAGTGCAACATATATATAGGACGTGCAACAAATAAAACAGATAAATGAGTGCAAGTAAATACAAATAAAATAGAAATAGTGCAAGAAGAGTCTATATACAAGTAAATGGATTATGATATATTAGATAAATATATGCAAGATGCAAACGAATGAATGTTATGGATGTTCTTTCAAAAGTTCAGGTGTTTAGCAGTCTTAAATGGATGAAACTGTCGCTGAGTCTGGTGGTTTTAGACCTGATACTCAGTAGTATTTATACTTGTCTTCTAAGATATAAAGCCATTGCGTTGTGTTTTTAGTGACAGCTGTAGATGACCTCGCTGCCTCCCCCTCTCCAGTATCTGGGGATGCTATCACTGTCGCTGACGACGGTAAAACTCTTCCTACTGCTGCTCTTGGAGATCAAACATTTCCAGCCACCATCATTTCTATGGATGCAGTTGATAAAGTACTGGGTGGAGCAACCTCAGGACCCACTGCTGCCCCCGATGTAACGAAGAACACCACCCCGAAAGAAGCACCCAAACCTGGGAGGACGGTGGTGGTGAGTACCTGCTAGGATGCAAGAAGGAAACTTGATAAAGAGCCATTGCAAACTGTTTTTTCGTTGTTGAATTCTGTACATTTTCTACAAAGCTCGGAGATTACTAATGCTCAGATGTGGGAAGTAGTGGAGTACAAATACTTTGTTACTGTAAAGTACTTATTTTTCTGACGACTTTTTACTTTGACTTCTTACATGTTGAACACAAATACCTGTACTTTCTACTTCTTACATGTTGAACCCAAATACCTGTACTTTCTACTTCTTACATGTTGAACCCAAATACCTGTACTTTCTACTTCTTACATGTTGAACCCAAATACCTGTACTTTCTACTTCTTACATGTTGAACACAAATACCTGTACTTTCTACTTCTTACATGTTGAACACAAATACCTGTACTTTCTACTTCTTACATGTTGAACACAAATACCTGTACTTTCTACTTCTCACATTTTGAACACAAATACCTGTACTTTCTACTTCTTACATGTTGAACCCAAATACCTGTACTTTCTACTTCTTACATGTTGAACACAAATACCTGTACTTTCTACTTCTTACATGTTGAACACAAATACCTGTACTTTCTACTTCTTACATGTTGAACACAAATACCTGTACTTTCTACTTCTCACATTTTGAACACAAATACCTGTACTTTCTACTTCTTACATGTTGAACACAAATACCTGTACTTTCTACTTCTCACATTTTGAACACAAATACCTGTACTTTCTACTTCTTACATGTTGAACACAAATACCTGTACTTTCTACTTCTTACATTTTCCAAACAGGCTGGTTCCTTTAGTTTGAATGTGTGTTTGGTGGCGTGATCATTATTATTTAGAGTCATTGCGTGCCTATTGATTTGAACACGATCCGTGTATCCATCATTTCCTGGTCTTCTCTAAAGAAGAGGGACCAATGAAAACGTTGTCATGTTGCCGTTGTTCAGCATGGAAACATTCATTAGCTAACAATGACATTATTGTTCTATTAATATAAAGGGAGGTCAGGTACTCTTTAAAACAGCTGCTAGTTATGGGTACTTTTTACTGAAGTACATTTCAAAGCCCTCTTTACTTTGACTTGAGTAAAGAAGTTTAGTCAGTACTTCTACTTTCACCAGAGTATTTTTAAACATGAGTATCTGTACTTCTACTTGAGTAAAAGATGTGTGTACTTTTGCCATCTCTGCTAATGCTAACTTGGGAAAGTGTCATTAAAAGTTTTCAAAATCTAACTTAATATTTGAATAAAAACTCTCTGCTGAAGTATTTTATTTTAATAACCATATAAATAAAGTTAGTTAAAAAGAGTACTTGCTTAAATCACGCTGTCTATTAAAAACTTGTATAAATCAGAGGATAAGAAGGATTGTAACTTCCCTGCAGCATCATGTCCAAATACTCCACGTGGAAGGAAACCAACTTAAACAGTTTCACATCTAACCAAAACTATTCTGCAATCACAGGAAAAATGTGTTTCCTGCACCACGGCGATATTTAGTTAAGCCCCGGAAACATTTATAAACTTTAGGAGAACAAATCCGTTTTAATGGCACAGAATAAACAGTTATTCTTAGACATTTTTCACAAGACAAGAAGAAGACATTCCTCCAACAAACACCATTTTCAATATATGTTTATCCTACTATACTTCTAAGTCTAATAAATCTACTTCAATTTCTGTGAAGCAAAATGGCGTAGCCTCTGGGTATAAAATCTGCTTTTTTTAAATTCCCGTTTTTAAGGGTTCATCGTAGAAAGATATTTACCACAGAAACAATTATCCTCTGATCTTCAAAACTCTTTTTCCCAACGTTAGTCCATTGGAAATAGTCCTTATTGGCCCAATGGCGTCATGTGAGGAAAGCTGTGTGTCTGTATTTGTTTGTGAAATATAGAATCAGAAATCCCTTTACGGTGTTGCAGCAAAGGGGACAGTGCAGATAAAAGGCTAACATAATAAAGAGACAAGCACACATTGATCAAATTAAAATGAAATACTGTATGGACACTTCATGGTAAAAATTGAGTAGCAGCACTATAAAGAAGTAAGTAACCAGATAAAAGGATCGAAGTAGCAGCCAGTAATATCAATAATACATTGTAAAAGTAATGTGTGTATTGCTCATAACAGTAGAACATGTTAAGGTCCATGTAAATATGATAAGTTTGCTTGAAATGTAAAAATAATCTTTGTCTCTTTTTGGTTTCTTGATTTTCTTACGTTTCGTCATCACTGTAGGTTTTGGTACTTTATAATTTTGAGTGTTTTTGAAGAATATGGCATCGTTTGTATTAAACCTGTTCATGTCTCCACAGCCGGGTGTGGCGTGTGTCGGGAAAGAAGACGTTTCTGAAAGCAACGCAGTGAAGGTCTCCTTGTCCACAACCGATTGTGTGAGTATCAGTTCAATCTCCTTTACCTCCCACTCTACAATGTCACTGTCAAAATAGAATATATATATATAAAGCTTTATCTACACACACTGGGGTCCAGAGGAAGGGGCTTCCTCCACTCAGAGGGGGAGGATGGATGTGTTTTTAAAAGAGCTACAGTAGGAAATATGGCGCTGAGACATTCCTCAGACGTAAGTCTTCAGACAGGCCGGAGACAAAGAGGAGTTTCCTCTCCGGGGTCTTTAGAGGTGGGACATCCAGGGTGGGGGGCTTAACCGTTTTTATTGTAGGTGTTATATTCTGTGTTCCCTCTCCTGTGTTATATGTTTTAGTGCATGTAAAGGACTCTTTAAAGTGGAGACACTACATACTGATATACACCTGAACATCAGCAGGAGAGGACTCTTTAAAGTAGAGACACTACATACTGATATACACCTGAACATCAGCAGGAGAGGACTCTTTAAAGTAGAGACACTACATACTGATATACACCTGAACATCAGCAGGAGAGGACTCTTTAAAGTAGAGACACTACATACTGATATACACCTGAACATCAGCAGGAGAGGACTCTTTAAAGTAGAGACACTACATACTGATATACACCTGAACATCAGCAGGAGAGGACTCTTTAAAGTAGAGACACTACATACTGATATACACCTGAACATCAGCAGGAGAGGACTCTTTAAAGTAGAGACACTACATACTGATATACACCTGAACATCAGCAGGAGAGGACTCTTTAAAGTAGAGACACTACATACTGATATACACCTGAACATCAGCAGGAGAGGACTCTTTAAAGTAGAGACACTACATCATGCAGGATTCCTGGAGGAACATGTGACGGTCCCACAGATGCAGAAAGGAGTGTTTCTCCTCCCTGCTGACGGAGGAAGGAGGATTTTTGTAATCCTCTGAGAGCACTGAGAGTTCCCATGTTGCAAAGTTGTGTAACGCAGTGATGTCATAGTTGGGGGTTAAGGTGGAGAGAAGAAGAAGGTGTGGTCAGAAAGTTTTCCATCCATCTGCATTTCGTCTCCATTACTCACATACGTACACTGATGGTCAACGGGGGGAAATTCAGGAAAACACACACATTGGATTTTTGGCTGCAGTGATGAAGCAGAGGAGATACAATGCAGGAAGCTGTGCAGGAATGTGAAATCTGTTCAGGCTTTTTTCAAGTTTTAAGTTCCTGCTCACGAAGCCACAATCAGGAAGGTCGTGTATTTTCAAAATATTCATACATTGTCCCCGCAGATCTTTTGAAACTGTTAAAACCATTTAATTTATTAATTTATTTTATTTGTAAATGTCCCCGCTGTGGGACTAATAAAGGATTTTGGATTCTGATATTAAACTTTTTTATTTATTATGTATTATTTATAGTTTACTATGTATTTATTTTTTATTTATTATTTCTAATTGATCCGAAATTAAGTAATAAACTTCATTTTTATAGTAATTAATATGTCTTAATAATGCAAAGATATTGGAATTAATAGGTTTTTTTTCGGACTTACAAGCTATACTTCGAAAACAATTTGGAACATCTATTATTTTTATATATATATATTCAACGTAACACCTCTCACGCTAGCGTCTCGTCGTAGATCATTACAGCGAAGGTTTTACACTTAAAATGTGCCTTAAATTTAATTTTGAATGACATTTAAAAAACTCATAATCTAACTTACCTTTAACTGTGGCTACCATGTTCACAGCTCAAATAAATATTTTTTTCTTTCTAGTTTGCACTGTAAGAATCATGATGTCACTGCTTTAATTCTCATATTTGTCAGACTGCTGTTGTGACGCAGCACGGCATGTATTGGCTTATTTCTCTTTGACTTTAAACATGCTTTTTTCTGCAGGAAACAACAAAGCGCATCATCGAGGAGAACCCTGCAAGCTGGTGCAGCAAAGACAACTGTAACCTCAAAATCTTCCAGGAGGGCAACACAGTGCTGGTGTCCAGTGACGACGGTGAGAAGACATGCACAACACAGACATGCACACTTTACATCAGGGGTGTCCAAACTTTTTTCAGAGAGGGCCACATACAGAAAAATATACGAAGGTCTGGGTCGATCACTAGAGTTATATCGTCTTATCAGTGAAGTTATAAGTTAACAAAATCAATCAAATGTAGGTGCATGCTTGATACTTGAAAATGCTTCAAGAAACACAACAGTCTACATCACAGCTCATTCCTTAAAACAGAAGCCTTAGATTGCTTTAAAAAAAAAGAGGAAATATAAATGGTAGATTTCAAGCTTGTAATGTAAATAAGTTATTGGGCTTTTTTTATCAACTAACATTTGTTTGAAAATGTTTCCAACTTTAATTAACTGAAATTATTTGAAAAGTGGACTTATTAACACATGAATACTGTGTAATATATTTTTACATATATATTTCAGAAGTACGAAATATGACAAGCACAAGTTTCATTTGTGAGCCATATTTAATTATACTTGTTTTATTAGCTGGGGGCCGTTTCAAAATGGGCGTAGTTTGGACACCCCTGGTTTACATGGCTCTGATTTATAAAGTACTGATACATATTTCTGATATTCTCCTCCCTGCAGCTGACCTGGCTACGCTAGCCGACGCCCTGAACAGCGAACACTTGAAAGAAAAGGTGAGATGATGGCAGGTGTTATAGTCTTGTGATATAGTTTCAAGTAGAGGAAAGATAACCATGATTTATTTCACTAAATCCATCTACAGTTCCTAATAACTCTATACAGAATCAGGTAATAGTGTCACCTCTTTCCTTCTCTTTACTGGGGACCGTTTAGTCGTCATGAATCCAGAGTCTTTTGCTCTCCACAAATATAAAAATAAATATTCAAAAAGTGTTTTCTGGTGAAGGAAAGCTAATATTTGTTGTCCACAGCTGACGCTAAATCGACCGGACTTCTTTCTGCGGATTGATATGAGTGCACATAGTCCCTTTATCCTCCTTAGCATTGGTCTGCTCTCCTTAGCAACAGTCTGCTCTCCTTAGCAACAGTTGGCTCTCTTAGCAACAGTCTGCTCTCCTTAGTAACAGTCAGCTCTCCTTAGTAACAGTCTGCTCTCCTTAGCAACAGTCGGCTCTCCTTAGCAACAGTCTTCTCTCCTTAGTAACAGTTGGCTCTCCTTAGCAACAGTCTGCTCTCCTTAGCAACAGTCTGCTCTCATTAGCAACAGTCTGCTCTCCTTAGTAACAGTCTGCTCTCCTTAGCAACAGTCTGCTCTCCTTAGCAACAGTCTGCTCTCTGTAGTAAAAGTCTGTTCTCCTTAGCAACGGTCTGCCAGCGAAAATGTGCAGACCTCTCGAATGTCCAAATTGACCAATCAGAATGGAGTATTCAACAAAGCCGTGTAATAATGTCTTATAATGGATGCATGGTGTTGAATTCAATCACATACTGTATTTTCTCTGACCACAATCTTCTTTTCTGCAGCTGGGAGTCACAAAGACGGAGACCCCCTCCTCGTCCGGGTCCTCGGTGTTTGTGGGGATCCTGGTCAGCGGTCTGCTCGCCGCTGTCGCCATCACTGTGGGGTACCTGAAGTGTCCCCGCAGGACCAGCGGCAAGGGAGTCAGGCTGGTGAGACATCACTACGTAACACTCGCTCTGCTATTGGCTAGCGCTCCAACACATTGTACGTGTTGGGGAAATATTTTCCTAGGCCCATAACTTTGACCCAGTTTATCAGTCTGTACTGCCCTCACTGAGCACAGGCCTGCACCTCGGGCTACTCTCAGTGTTTTGTCTCCCTGTTCCTGCCTGTTGGCGTCAGCTGATAGAGGTTATAGTGCTTTATCTTGTTATGCACAATGTTGATTATTCTCTCTGAGCTAAGGGTCTGGGGTAGAGATCTTCAGAACATGTCTTGTGAATTCTCCGGCCGAAGCTCCAAATAAACCATCAGTGTTGCCATCAAAGTTCCTGCTCTCCTCGTGTCTCTCTGAGTCTCCATTGCTTCAGAAGTTTCCATCACAGTACGTGATAGGCTAATGGGCGGGACATCTCTAAGCGGTTGACCAATCACAACAGAGCCGGCCAGCTAACCAATCAGAGCAGACTGGGCTCTGGTTTCAGACAGAGGGTGAAAAGAGGTGCTGCAGCACAGGCAGTATGAGAAAAATAAAGAGCTTTATGAACATTAAAGCTTTGTTAGAGCCATTTGTGACATCACTATGGAACACTCACTCTTCTATTGGCTAGCGCTCCAGCACATTGTTCGTGATAACTACTGAAAGTCAATATTGGAATCTGTGGCTTTTTTTTTAACACTGACGAGAGCGCCCTTACGGGCCGTCTCCACAGCAGCGTTAAAAAATCTTGAAACGCTTCTGCCCATTCACTTTGAATGGGGTGACGTCACTTTCCCTCACTTTTCGCCGAAATGCATTGTGGACAGGCGAGCGGAGATTCTCAGGATTTTCAAGATTCAAAGTTGAACAATGTTCAACTTTTGAAGCTGAGGTGGAAGCGGCAGCCAATCAAATCCCGTGTACGCAAATCTGGCAGTTCAAGCTCTAGCCAATCAAACGGCGTGTATTCTGGGAGAGACATACCGCAGGTCATTTCCTCATATTCCAAAAAATGGAGGAGAAATTAGCGGTAGCGAATCAATCACCCGGTGCTTTATGACCAGACCTACTGGGATATAAACCGGAGGAGCCAGGCATGGAGGGAGGTGGCAGAGACAGTGGTATGTTTTCGCCTGTTTTGGGGAGTTTATATCCAGTTTACTTCGGGCTTTTTGGCTTCGTATGTCGCGGGCGGGAGATTCATGTGATTGGTTGATCGCAAAAAAATCCCCAAGCCTCAGATACGCCCACCTCCAAGATTTTTTTAACGCTGCTGTGGAGACGATCCGTTACAGTGTGACCTGTGCGTGTTTCACATCTGCAGTCACGTTAAACACTCACTAACGGTATGCATGGATTTTTTTCTCAGTCCGGTTTATGTTTCCTTGCGTCTGAAATCAAAACAGAACCCTTTCCTTCCTCTGGGATCAAACACTGCCAACGTTTTGATCAGGGAAAGTTTCTGGCCAGCGTTCAGAGAGAATACAGACAGAGAGAGAGAGCGTTATCCAAAGACCCCTGATCCCTGCTCGCTGCTTTATTCTGCTTATTATTCATCAGTGATTCAACATGGAGCCATAAGCAGCTGTTTTACTTTATTATCAGCCTACATGTAATATCAGACTAACGGAATAGATGCAACTGGATTATGTAAACAAAACAAAAGTTTAAAGCCTCAAAAGAAGCTTTAAACTTTTAAAAGAAAGGACATTTTGTAAATTGAGGTGTCTTTCACTCCCATGATGCATTGTTTCTGTGTCTCTGCAGGCGGAGGAGGCGTTCCCGGCGGATCAGGAGAACCAGGGGAACACTCTGGCCTCCGAGGCGCCCCTGAACCCCCCTCAGGAAACCCTGGAGAAACCCAGCATCAACGGAGAAACCCCCGAGGCCGAAAAGCCAGACCAACCCCCCCCACCCACCAACGGTCACTCCACCACCAAGACTGCAGACACCGAGCTGTGAAACAACAACACACACACACACACACACAAACACACACACACACACACCCATAAACACACACACACACACACACACACACACCCATAAACACACACACACACACAAACTCACTTTCTGACCACAACAAACGTGGACATCAAAATGACACGAAATTATTTGATTGATTTAAATTGATCGTATCGTGGATAGGAAACTCATAGTTGCAGTCCACAGACCGGACTACTTTCTGTGGATTGATATGACTGCACATAGTCCCTTGAGCCTCCTTAGCAACGGTCTGTGTTCCTTAGCACTTTGAATTGCCTCTGTGTATTAAAATGTGCTATTACAAATAAACTAACCTTAGCAACGGTCAGTTTTTCCGGACAACAACGGAATGTTGAAATTGACCAATCGCAGTCCAGTATTCAACTAAGCCGGGTAATATTTTGTCTGACTGCAGACACCGAGCTGTGAAACAACAACACACACACACACACAAACACACACACACACACACACACACACACACACACACACACACACACACACCATCTGTGAGCCTCGTAAACATCAGGGGAGGAAGTCTGATGATGATGATGAAGATGATGATGATGATGAAGACGATGACGAAGGCTGAGTCCCTGGTTGTTGACGCAGGCAGCAGAGGATTGTGGGTGTGGAGAGAAGCATCACTCTGTTCCCATGATGACTGCATGTCAACACCCTGCAGCATGCATGGATTACTGAAGGACTACAGGGGCCGAAATACTGAAAAGAGCCACAAAACAAATAAAGAGAGAGGAGAACCATCTGCAGAGACACACAGAGAGACTTTAAAAAGGGAGAAAACCAACGTGGGGACAGAATAACAACAAAAGAGACACAAAATGAATAAAAAAACACTCAAAAAATGACACGAAGAGGAACAAAACAACCACAAATATGAAAAGAATAGACAAAAGAAAATATGAGGTTCAAACAGACAGATCCTGACTACTAGAGATGATTTATATAAAGAGACCAATTAGTGAAAATGATTATTGTAGGTCACTTTGGATTCAAGCTAATTCGACCAATTAGTGAAAATAAACTACTCAACAACAGAGACAGAAAACAAATACAAAAAGCAACAAAACTACTTCCAAGTGACCAAGAAACACAAAACATGTACAAAAAGTCTCAAAATGACCACAGAATGCCAAAAAACGCACCAACAAAAGCCTCAGCGACTCTTAAGTCTGCATGTTTTTATCCAGGTGTGGCTTTCTGTCTCACAATCCGCCCTGCAGACTCTCTGCATGGCGTCACATTTACCCACAAACCCTCCACAGTAAACACCTGCTCCTCTGCAGCCATGACAGACGGAGAGGAAACAAACCACGCTGCCTTGAAATCTGTTTACAAACTCAGAGAGAAATCCATATGGAGTTATTGAAAGTGTGTGAACATGTGCTTTAAATCCTGCATGTGTGTGTTACCGTGCATGTGCATAGAGGCTTCCCTTGCTTTACTGTATTATACGTGTGCTGTTGTAATCGAGTGAACGAATGAGTGTGACATTAGCCAGTGTAAACTTTGTAAAATAAGTTACTTTAAGTTGTGATCTCCTTGTCTTTCTTCATTAATGACGCCTCGCTGCACATTATCCCGCTTATTACACGGCCACGTGCTAAATACACCAACGACTTGACTCACAATATTGATTCAAAAATTATTTTATTGATTTAAATTGATCGTATCGCGTCTGCCAAGACAAAAATAATATTTAAAAACTATTCCACGTGTTTTCTGATGGAGGAAAGTCATATTTGTTGTCAACAGCTGACCGTACTACTTTCTGCAGATTTATATGACTGCACAAAGTCCCTTGAGCCTCCTTAGCAACGGTCTGTTCTCCTTAGCAACGGTCTGTTTTTCCAAGCAGCAACGGAATGTTCAAATTGACCAATCGCAGTCCAGTATTCAACTAAGCCGTGTAATATTTTGTATACTCTCTTTTTACTGTTTGTACTCTATTGAGCAGTGTGTATAGTTTCTGTCTTGTTTTTTTTAAGTTGTGTACCAACACTTTTAAGGTGCCAAAGTTTCTGATGTCATGTCTTATGTTGTGTATTAAAATATTTGGCACATTTTTATAGAACTTGATCCAACTGCAGAAAAGTGTTCTTATAAATAAATTCTAATTTTTTAACTTTTTCATTGCTAACATTCCAATATGACTTTTTTTACTAGCAGCCTGTTTTAAATTGGAATAAACATGAACAAATAAAAGATGAATAACTTTTTATGAATCGTCGTGTTTTCAGACTGATTTTTTTGTGTAAACGGTGCAACTTTTGTCCCTGTTTGACAGTTTATGAAGCACAAAGTATAAAACGTCACCCAAATATGTGTTACACCTTGTAATCGAACTTGATTCGTTGTACCTTAGTTTGTTAAGTACTACAATATACTCAATGCAGTACTTTGACTTGTTATGGAGATTTTTTTCTTATAAATACATTAGAAAAAGATTACCTGTACTAAACTTTTTCAAATGTATGACCTCATTTACGTAAAATGTACCTTATTTTAGAGTTTAAAAAAAGCAAACAATTTGAATTAGTTTAGATCAGAGGAACATATATTGAATATTTTTTCTCAAACGTATTTGTCTTAGTTTATTATGTTTTGAAAATATTTACATTTTCTTGATGTCAGCACATCAAATCCATTAAGGGGCCCAATTCTGCTTTTTGGGTTGTTCCTTTCCTGCAGTGGGTTATCTAGGTTTTTGTGCATGTCCTTTGTTTAGTTACAAAGCATGGTGACATCACTATGGAACACTCGCGCTCCTATAGAGCGGTGCAGGGATGACGTATATACCCGGAAGTAAGCTGCTGGTGCCCTCGAAAAAAAAGCAACGGGATTTCTCTATAAGATTTTGGAAAATAGCTCGAAAAAAGATCTGTAGAAAACGAACCTGTTTGATAAATGCACGTTTTGTTCAGCCGGATAATCTCCACATGTCTACCCTACTTTTATCATTTTTCGAATCATAAATCTAATGGCCAGAAGCAAAATGCTAACGTTATGCTATAAAGGAACTACAGCCGAGTCCAGCAGCACGACTTCAACATCACGCCAACTTCAGATCCATATTCAAACATACAGATTCTAAATGGTACGAGTTGAAGCGTTTGTTTGAACAGTTAGCAGGAGGCAGGGACTTGCTTTCAAGCAGAACAGGGCAAACAAACTTAGAGGAGTGTTTACGTGTTCGGCGTAATGACGTACAACGGCCTCGACAACTTCTGTAGTCCTACTCAGCCACTTGGTAACAACCATCATTTTTCAGACACGTCAACTCTTCAGAAATCACCAGTGGGGTCACTGCTGATGGATTTAATGTGGTAGAACAAAACGTGATCCGTCTCTTCAATGTGTCTCAACCACAGACCTTAGTTCCAGCTATTTTCCTAAATCCTATAGAGAGATCCCATTGGCTCTGAGACGAGGGAACAGGAAGTGGTAAAATGCTAACTCACTTCCGGGTTTTAGGACTCGTCACTGCACCACTCTATTAGCTGGCGCTCCAACACATTGTACGTGATAGGCTAAGGGGCGGGACATCTCCAAGCGGTTGACCAATCACAACAGAGCCGGCCAGCTAACCAATCAGAGCAGCTTTTTGAACATTAAAGCATGGGGACATGTCACAGTGACACTACATACTGATATACAGTCAGTCCTGAACATCAGCAGGAGAGGACTCTTTAAAGTAGAGACACTACATACTGATATACACCTGAACATGAGCAGGAGAGGACTCTTTAAAGTAGAGACACTACATACTGATATACACCTGAACATCAGCAGGAGAGGACTCTTTAAAGTAGAGACACTACATGCTGATATACACCTGAACATCAGCAGGAGAGGACTCTTTAAAGTAGAGACACTACATACTGATATACACCTGAACATCAGCAGGAGAGGACTCTTTAAAGTAGAGACACTACATACTGATATACACCTGAACATCAGCAGGAGAGGACTCTTTAAAGTAGAGACACTACATACTGATATACACCTGAACATCAGCAGGAGAGGACTCTTTAAAGTAGAGACACTACATGCTGATATACACCTGAACATCAGCAGGAGAGGACTCTTTAAAGTAGAGACACTACATGCTGATATACACCTGAACATCAGCAGGAAAGGACTCTTTAAAGTAGAGACACTACATGCTGATATACACCTGAACATCAGCAGGAGAGGACTCTTTAAAGTAGAGACACTACATACTGATATACACCTGAACATCAGCAGGAGAGGACTCTTTAAAGTAGAGACACTACATACTGATATACTCCTGAACATCAGCAGGAGAGGACTATTTAAAGTAGAGACATTACATACTGATATACACCTGAACATCAGCAGGAGAGGACTCTTTAAAGTAGAGACACTACAAACTGATATACACCTGAACATCAGCAGGAGAGGACTCTTTAAAGTAGAGACACTACATACTGATATACACCTGAACATCAGCAGGAGAGGACTCTTTAAAGTAGAGACACTACATACTGATATACACCTGAACATCAGCAGGAGAGGACTCTTTAAAGTAGAGACACTACATACTGATATACACCTGAACATCAGCAGGAGAGGACTCTTTAAAGTAGAGACACTACATACTGATATACACCTGAACATCAGCAGGAGAGGACTCTTTAAAGTAGAGACACTACATACTGATATACACCTGAACATCAGCAGGAGAGGACTCTTTAAAGTAGAGACACTACATACTGATATACACCTGAACATCAGCAGGAGAGGACTCTTTAAAGTAGAGACACTACATACTGATATACACCTGAACATCAGCAGGAGAGGACTCTTTAAAGTAGAGACACAACATACTGATATACACCTGAACATCAGCAGGAGAGGACTCTTTAAAGTAGAGACACTACATACTGATATACACCTGAACATCAGCAGGAGAGGACTCTTTAAAGTAGAGACACTACATACTGATATACACCTGAACATCAGCAGGAGAGGACTCTTTAAAGTAGAGACACTACATACTGATATACACCTGAACATCAGCAGGAGAGGACTCTTTAAAGTAGAGACACAACATACTGATATACACCTGAACATCAGCAGGAGAGGACTCTTTAAAGTAGAGACACTACATACTGATATACACCTGAACATCAGCAGGAGAGGACTCTTTAAAGTAGAGACACTACATACTGATATACTCCTGAACATCAGCAGGAGAGGACTATTTAAAGTAGAGACATTACATACTGATATACACCTGAACATCAGCAGGAGAGGACTCTTTAAAGTAGAGACACTACATACTGATATACACCTGAACATCAGCAGGAGAGGACTCTTTAAAGTAGAGACACTATACTGATATACACCTGAACAGCAGCAGCATATGTCCCCTTTAACCACATTCACTCTGCATTTAAAGGCCATGCAGCCCATCAGGCCTCACAGCTGGTTTACATTAGTTGTAGTAATGACCTCACGTCACTGTTTTCTTTTTCACGTTGAGGGTGTGGCAGGGAAAACATCCCGCAGCTGTCTCTGTTTAACAGACGCAGGACACCACCCATCATCATGTTCATATACACGCTTAAATCCACTTCCTGTCACCATACACTGACTGGGACTTCACACCCTCCTCTCATCACGAGAGCAAGTCCCATGTGGATCCTCGTCTCCTCCAAACCCAGAGGAAAATATTTGCTTAAAGGCCATCGAGCTGCAGAGAAGTCCTGTTGTCACCAGGGTGGGGAGGTAGTAACTATGAGTGTTAAATAAAAGTAATAACGAGTTAAAACGTACAAAACTGCGTCTGAAAGTGTAGTGGAGACAGTACAGTAAAGTAAAATTATGTCAAAAATAATACTTAAGTACAGCGTAAATGTACTTAGTTACTTTCCACCACTGAGTCTACGGTCTGTCCAACTTCAATCCAATTAATCACAAAATAACCCTTTTTTTTCACTGAACCATAACACAGTGGGGCCCTGCAGAGCTGTATTTGCTCAGTTTGTCTGATATGCATCTCAAAAGTATACCCCAAAATAATTAAGATACATGGAATTCACTGTGTGTAAAAAAACAAAAGCACCGATCACAACAAGGCCTCTGGACATTCTTCACTGGAACAGATTTCTATAAAAAGAATTACAATACACTTCCCTGGTTTAACTGGCCCGATTAGTAAGTAAGTGTTTTTTTGTGAATTAACCCTTTTTATTTCCACCCATCGACCCCTGCAGCCCCACTGTCAATTACCTAATATTTTCTCCTCCACAGCTTCTCTTTAATTACTTGAATGAAGTATTTTATAGTATTTCTACATGTGCAAATCATCTGAGTACTTCACCCGCCTCTGCTTTGTATTAAAACTCTATTAAACTCCACTGTGTTGTGGTGCTAACAAATATAAACAATGCTTTCTGATGCTAAACAAAATAGGTTTTTTGTGCAATTACTGTTTGTGTTTTCCATCCACTGTAATCCCATAATGCATCACTCCAAATCTTCTCCTCTGAATTATCTCTCATAGTTGTTTCCCCAAATGTTACCAAGTAATCCCCAATGTTTAGAAATGTAACAGCAAGCGAATACAGTAACTTTTTAGTTGAATCCTGATTATGTAATGCTGTTAAATGTAATCCATTGCTCCCCACACCCCCCCCCCTCCATGTGTCACTGTAGAGGAATCTGGATTATGAAGCAGCTGGTTGTTTTTATTGTGGGGAGGCTCCCCCCTAAAAGCTGCCAAATACGTCATGTTTCCTCCTCATTGCCAAAGCACGCCCTCCTAAACTGATGGTAAGATAATATAGGGAGGGAGTGAGGAGGGGGAGATAAATGGGGTCAGGTCAGAAGGGAGGGGAAGGGAATTAAACCTGATGAAGTTCAGGTGAAGGTGAACGCCAGCAGACTGTATTAGCATCAATTTAAACCATTTTAAACTCCTCGTTCTGTTTCTCTTCTTCGTTGGTTTCCTGCTCAAGGAAATATAGAATAAGGAATGTGTAGCGGCTTCCTTCCTCTCTGAACACCACTGATACCGACTGGAAAACTGTGAAAACACAACATGACCTCTGGAGCCGAGACACTAACAAGATCAACATGTTTCCTGCCGTGAAAACACATTATATTTAATGAGTATTATATTAAAGGGGACCTATTATGCAAAATCCACTTCTTCATGTCTCTTCTACATCAACATGTGTCCCCTCTTCAGCCAATC